TGCAAGAATTTGTTGTAGAGCAATTTCAAGCGTGTCGCAATTGAATACTCGATGTTTGATCCTTCGACTGTAGCGTCAACTGTACACGATTTCTGACAAAGCCCACGGCACATGCACTTTACAAAAAATCTTTCATCACATGTAAAGCGATAGAGCGTATTGGAGGATTGAGAGTCTTGGCAACAAAGATAATTGACAGATGGCATAGTGCGAAAAGGTCACAAATTACGTTGCTTCAGAATAGCGAAATAGTTCGGGAAAAATGACGTCTAAAGTGGAGATTGCTTCGAAAGCTTTAATCGCTTTGCTGCATATTTATGTATGCGTAATTGTTTTAAGTTTAAAAAGCTACACTTTTCACACTACCTTAAAGAAAAATGCACAAATTTTTGAATCTTTAGTACGTTAAATGCTCCTTTTGTCATTAATCCAACGGTTGAAGCTTAAGCAACATGAGCATCTGAGTAATCTTGATGCGGAACTCCATTTCTTAGCAAAAATACAAACATCCAACTATATTGGAAGCAATACGCTCTGAAAAATGGAAGAGGGTAAGTAACCATTTGTAAAGATATCCGCAAGAGGCATTTGTTAACTAAAAGGCAATAGAAGTTCTTGGTTTTACATATTACAAACTTAACTTTATTACTCAATAAAAATTCACAACTAATGCTTTTGATGAAATGGCTACAGCAAGAAAAACAAACTATCACTTTGAATACACCTTGTAAACGCAGTTGTCGCCAATTCAAAGAAATTGTATAAAACGAAGAGCCTAAGTCTGCAATGCAATACAATGCAAAAAGCCATCAAATGGGCTTATCAAAGACGAGCATGACGCTAAAACATAATGAGAAGTGCAGAGTGCAAGAAAGACACGAAAAATGACCTTATGTGCTATGGAACCTAACGACTGTGCGGATTCGCTTTAGAGCAAGTCAAATGTTTTCTTCTAAGGTAGGACACGTATGCGTTCACAGGCAAGAGTGGAATAAGTACATCATTTGGACACCAGTTAGAGTTGTTTAGTTATTTAAAGTATGCCTTTTTTCGTCATATGTAAAGGAAAGGTTCTGAAGTTCTCACTACTCATGGAGTTTGATTCTAGTGAATGTCCTCTTAGGCCCTATGTATCTCTACGTACTTATACGTCATTAGATTACACTAATCCGCTCAAATAAATGCTAGGTTCACATGCCTAAATTTTTTGGAACTGGGGCTTCAAGGCAAAACGCGAAGTAGATTCAAAAAAGGAGCGACTTTTCTTGCAAATGGAATTTTTTTTTGGATTTGGAGTGCTTTTTCAGGAGCTTTGTGCGTCCAAACATTTTTGTACTTTTGCAAAGCATGCAAACCGCACTTACGGGCGGGACACTACAATTCTTCTCTGAACGATAAGCCTCTAGTGCAGTTGATGTATAAACTATAAGTACATTCCTCGGTTATTTATTCAGGCAAAGTCATTGCACTGAAAACTGTGTTAACCTCATGAGTCAGTAAACCTAATTAGGCAAATCAGTCTCTCTAGTGTTAGGAATGAAGGTGAAGGACACGTACTTCTCGTTCCTGTGAATAAGGTTCTTTTATGTAGGAGGGAATGACGAATGGATGTCCCGGACACTAGCGGATTCAGAAGTACTCCCTTTTAGTAAATATTTGGCTAGTGCTTACGTTTTAAGATAAATTGAGCTATGAGCAAAAGTTGAAGGCCTATTATTAGACCAAATGAGCTTCTGAGAGGCATAGAGCCCACTAGTGTACGTAAATTTATAGATAGCATTATTCATTATAGTACGCTATTGCCGTCGTCGAAACTTCCAGTTTCTTTTGATAAAATGTTATTCAAACTGGAGAATTCTGAAAAAGCTTGAAACTGTAAATATGATTTTAACCCAACATGAATGTTGAAAATGACCTCTCATTTATTTAACCCTTCCGGTATATTAAAAACTAGTACTGAAAATATGTTGTCGCCAATGCACGTGAAAGCAGCAGCAATGAATGTCAAAGAAAAAAGATTTGGGGATATAGTCTTTACTATCGGTGAAACGTGAATATGTTGAATTAGCAGAAATAAGAGAACTTGAATCTTATCAGACAATAGTCACCTACATCAAAAACTTTTCGCCAGGTAATACGATCCATTCATGACAATAAATTCTTCTTGCGGCAAAAAACATAAAGCTGCCTTTATGTAGACATTGACAATTTTGTTCAGCCGTATTCTTAGCCCTCAGAATCAATGATTAAATGTCTTTCAGTGATAAGATTCAGACGTTGAAAAGCCCACTGGAACTTATGAAATAAAAAGAGTTTGGCGATAAATTTACCCAGAAAAAAATGATAGTGTAACAGGGAAAAAGTAGATAAGAAAGTAAGAACCGTTTAATGACTTTCCGTCTATACTCCCTCAGTCCTTTTTCACTTAAACTTCGTCACTTAAGCATTCTACTGTACCTTATTGCTCTATCGTAGATATTATCTAATCTTGTATATCTTGGCAGGAAAACAATAGCTGGATTTTCTGTAAAAAAAAACCATGTAGCCACCAAGTAAGTTCGGGACGCTTGTGGATACTTCTCCTGCTACCCCTACATAGGCACTACAAGATTCATAAAACCTCCCTAGGCTTTCTTGGCAGAAATATTTGGGCTTTGACAAGCGAATTATTGAAAAGTGGGTATAGTGGTGGAAGACTGTAAATTTTGAAAAAGATAGCTGAACAACATTAGCTGTACTGAAAGAACAACCATATTAGAAAAATAGTGTGATATTTGAGATGAAATTTCTTTGTTTTCGAAAGCAACATTATTCTTCGCGAGCTATCCTCGTGTCACTAAAAAATTGAAAATTCTGGCTACGTGAAATCT